GTGAGTGTGTGTGTGTTTGTGTGTGTGTGTGTGTGTGTGTGTGAGAGTGTGAGTGTGAGTGTGTGTGTGTGTGTGTGTGCGCGCCAGTGTTGGGGAAAGTTACTTTTAAAAGTAATGCATTACAGTATTGCGTTACTCCATGAAAAAGTAACCACTTTTGTTACTTTGTGTACACCACATCCAAGTCATATTTCACCTCAGAATAATAATAAAAAAATAAAATAAAGTACCATAAAATTTTGCGCATGGGTTGTTATAGCTAACTAAAACAATTAAAAAAACATTTTCGTTACTAAAAATAAACATTAACTGAAAATAAATTAATTAATTTAATAAACTTTAACTTATTTTATTTCAGCTAGCTGCCAAGGAAACATTTCTCAATTTCATTTAGTTTAACTTGTACTAAATGTACAAAATGAACTAAAACTTAAATGAAAATGAATGAAAACTATATAGACATATTTTTAAAACAAAACCAGAAGCTATTTATTTATTCTATTTTATCTATCTATTTATGTTTATTTTCACTTGAGTTTCAGTTGACTGAAATAACTAAAACTAAAAGTGAAATTTCTTAAAAAAATAAATGTCTGTGTGTGTGTGTGTGTGCCAGTGTTTGAAAAAGTTACGTTTAAAATTATTAATATTGCGTTGCTCCATAATAAAGTAACTATTTGTGTTACGTAGTTACTTTTTATGGAAAAAGTAACCACTAATAAACTTTAACTTATTTTATTTCAGCTAGCTGCCAAGGAAACATTTCTCAATTTCATTTAGTTTAACTTGTACTAAATGTACAAAATGAACTAAAACTTAAATGAAAATGAATGAAAACTATATAGACATATTTTTAAAACAAAACCAGAAGCTATTTATTTATTCTATTTTATCTATCTATTTATGTTTATTTTCACTTGAGTTTCAGTTGACTGAAATAACTAAAACTAAAAGTGAAATTTCTTAAAAAAATAAATGTCTGTGTGTGCCAGTGTTTGAAAAAGTTACGTTTAAAATTATTAATATTGCGTTGCTCCATAATAAAGTAACTATTTGTGTTACGTAGTTACTTTTTATGGAAAAAGTAACCACTTTTGTTACTTTTTGTAAAATAGCACTGATTGTGGCATTATTTACATGACATTTAGCCCATGATATTTCTCATTTGCAGTGATGTTTGAACTGGATGTGTTTTTGAGAGATTTATTCTAGACTCGAATGTATTGATATGTGTGTGTGTGTATGTGTTGTGACCCGTACCTGGAAGGTTCTGGGCGGAGTCACACAAGCAGGAAGGAAGTACAAAGACGGTCTGTTTGTGATGATCGCGGTGGGCTGGGCTAAAGGTACGGCGCGACTCTAATTACACTCATCCATCCACGTTCGTTTTTTCCAGTCAGATATCGAGCTGGATGTGAAAGTATTCTTGGCTTGACATTTCAGTGTTTAAAAGCTCAAGGTTATTTCATCACACTCATTATTAAAACCCATGATGCATTTCACCCCGCTGTCCTTCAATTACAGCGAGAAAAGCTTTGAAATATCAAGAGGTCGAGGTGACTAATTACAATCGCCGCTGAAATAATAAAAGTTTAAGAGCGAAAACACATCAGCGAGCGACTCGTGCATCATCCTGAGAGTTATTGACGGAGTTATTATCGCTAGCGGATGCTATCTCTGATCTCCAGACGTGATTGTGTGTCTGCAGGAGCCGGTGGAGGACTCTTGAGTAACTTTGAGCAGCTGGTTCGAGGCGTCTGGAAACCAGAAACCAACGAACTCCTGAAGATGTCATAGTAAGAGTCTTAAATATTCCAGATATACGACACAAGATCATTTCTGAAATGGTCACAGACATTGAAGTCAAGGAACACCACATTCAGGTCGTATTTCACCTCATAATAATAAAATTAAATAATATAAGTATCGTAAAATTTTGTGCATGGGTTGTTATAGCTAACTAAAACAATTAAAAACATCGTTGTTACGTGAACTAAAATAAGCATTAACTGAAATAAATTATAAAAAAACTTTAATGTAATAGCTTTTATTTCAGCTAGTTGCCAAGGAAACATTTTTTAATTTAATTTAGTTTAACCTGTAGTAAATGAAATAAAAATGAATTAAAACTATATAGACATATTTAAAAAAACAAAAAACAGAAGCTATTTATTTATTCTATTTAATCTATCTATTTATATTTATTTTCACTTGAGTTTCAGTTGACTGAAATAACTAAAACTAAAAGTGAAAGTTATTAAAAGAATATATATGTTTTTTTTTAAAAATCACAAAACTAATAAAAATGATTGTTGTGATAACTTGTGTTTTTATCACTTTTTTTATTTTAATTTTTTTTATATTGAGTTTCAGTTGACTGAAATAACTAAAACTAAAAGTGAAAGTTATTAAAAGAATATATATGTTTTTTTTTTTAAATCACAAAACTAATAAAAATGATTGTTGTGATAACTTGTTGTGTTTTTATCACTTTTTTATTTTAATTTTTTTTATATGTATGTATAATTAACACATTTGTTTCAGTAAATTAAAAAACAAAAAATACAGACATATAAAAGAAAATCGAAAAACTTATAAAAATTAAAAAAATTTTTTTTTTAAATGTCTGTATATTTTTTTTTTTATAAAAACGAAAACTGAAAACCGATTTAAAAAAAATATATTTTTATTAATTTAATTTAATTTTTTTTTCTTTTTTTAAATAAATTTTTATTTCAGTTTTAGCTTTGCTTAATTTAATCAAGTTAAACTCAATGAAAATGAAAGATGTTGCTTTGACAATTTTAGTTAAAGTTTTAGAATTTTTTTTTTCTAAAATTTAAAATGATAACTGAACATAAAATCCCTCAGACAGCAGCTTTTGTTTCTGAATGTCTGAACATCATTTCAGATCTGCAGGATCTTTTCTCTTCTCTACTGTCGCTGTTCTTCATCAGATATTTTGAGTGATTTCAGTGTCTAAAAGACATTCATGAGACAAAGTGCTCATGTTTGAGGACGCTCATTGTGTTAATGAGCTCATCTGAACTCATAAATGAGATGAAAGCGTCACGGGTGAGCTGTTTTTGTCCAGATTTGATGGCGGTGTTTGTCTGCAGAAGCTGAGTCTCTTTCTCTCAGAATAATAGCGTTTGCTCCCAGAATGCCGCAGGTAGAATAATTGGCTTCTGTATTGATTTCTTGGAGACACTTGTTGTCATGGTTTTTGTGCGAGTGGCATTTGAAAGGGTTTGTGTGGAAGAACGCAGGAGAGTAAGCGTTATGTACTGGAAACAGAGATACATAACATAGTATAAGTAATAACAGATAAAGGATAGTGTCAATAAGTAACAAACAAAGAATAGTAAATGCAACAAAAACACACAGAACGAAAATACTCAGAGAGAATTATAGCTGTGTAACGAATCAGCTCATGGGGAAATATGAATAATTAATCATAACTAGTTATAATTAACTATAAATATTTAGATCCGCTGTAGATATTTAGCTGACCTCTCAGGGTCAACTGTCTGTCAATTCTAAGAACGTTAAGCTGGTAGTATAGGATGAGGAGAGTGTCTAAAGAACATGTTATGACTGATAGTATTGGAAAAATTGTTGTAGCATCAAGGTTGAAACTGGGAGCATTTACTATATTTTTTGTTAGTGAAGGGGGGCCAGTAATTAAAATTTCTGTTTTGTTCAAATTCAAACTGAGAAAATTTTAATTTAGCCAGGCCTTTAGCTCATTGACACGGGTAGATAGTGATGTGGTCTGGTGAATAGAATCTGGTCTGCATGCAGTGTATATCTGAATATCA